TGCCCATCAGAAGAACGGACATATTTAAATGCGACCTTTGTTGAACCCTTATTTTTAACCGCCTACAATTTTTGATCTGGTCTAATCTATTTTTAACTGGGTATCAAGTCTTCAAGTATTTGCTTTAAAGAAGAAGAGAAGTATTTAATCAACTCCTTTATGATCACCTGAATAAAAGTTATTGATGATGTCAACCTGAAGGAAAAGGAAGAAGAAGATTGACAGTTGGGCCAAAAACATAATTGTAATGAGTCGATTTAATAGTCGCAGATTTGTTTAAGAGAAGGTATAGGAGGAGCGTTTTCCTAAGAAAGTCCATAACAAAAGCGTCATATCTCGACGTTCATATCACTTCTGGCGGGTCGATCAGTATCCACTTTCAACGAGAATATCCCACGAAATGCGTGATAACACCGATGGAGCTCCGAAGTTGGAGAAGACACGACACGGGCCCGATTCGGGGCCGCGCTATCGAGAAAACCCGGGTGGATGAAAAGTTCAAAAGTGCAGCGGGGGCGTAATATTATTGTATAAACGGATGTGTGAGTTGCTCTGGGTGCTCTGGGAGATCACGACGGAGGAATATGTAGCCGCATTCGATATTCTTTAGAATCTCCCGGCGCGCGATTCAACCTATTCTTACAATGTATATACTGGATTTAGCTCGTGGAGATAGATATTCCTAACATTCGTTGAAACGGCCGGCTTTACGGCAGCTTTCGCGCTGAAAGCTCGCCTCGCATACAGCTTTCTCCCTGTACCGAGAGCTCGTCTCTACCTTCTCAAACACATTCCGCACGCACATTCTATTCCACGAGGCGAGACACCCTTTCCTTCCTATCTTTACCGCGCCAGCGAAACCAAACTGCCCGTCTATTTGTTCCATCGACGATCGTCCGGTTCCTCTTCTCTTCTTCCGCTTCTTTTCATCCGGATCCGTCGCCGATCTCCGCTTCCGCTTTTTCCCACCTTCGATCCTTTTGCACCTTCTATTCTTCTCTCCCTTTTTTTTTTTTTTTTATTTTTTGCCTCAGTTTTATTGCTTCCGCGTCTCTTGGCATCGTGCCGTGCTCCATCTGCGCGCATACCAATCAACAAATAGGAAGCTAGATGCAATAAGAGGCGCAGATTGCCGCGAGAGAGAATGCAAATATCACAAACACTGGGAACCGTTATCTAAGAAGGAAATATTGATCGCGCCCGTAATACGGACGATTTCTCGCCTCTCGCGATCATTTGCGGGTGCCCAGGCGCAATTTATTCGTATTAGCATGTTGCCGTGACGATAAAATTTCCATACGGAATATATCCTTCGGACGCATGCATAGAGAAATTTGTAGAATACTCTGTATATTTTATATATGCTAACGTATGAGAATTTATTCGACGACACTCTCTTACGAGTGTCAGCTCGACATTAGCTGGCTTAAGATGCGAATACTAATGCCGCGCGATCGTCGTTCTTTAATCATTCGGTATCGAAGCATTGAAATGTAGGAAGATAAATTACGGCCACGTTATTTATCGTTCTCGCGCGAAATATAATTTCTTGAAGGTTTATAAATATGATGCCGCGTGGAATAAATAAGGATCGCGCCGCGCGAACTTTGCTGTGACTTTTCTCTCTCTCTCTCTTTATACTAAATCAAATCACGTTTTCCGTTTTTCCTCGGCGGACATTGGGATAAAGACGTCCGACCAGATTCCGTGCACGGAAAGAAGAGTATCGTTTTAATCTCGTTGACCCTAATGATAAGACCCTTTACGTAGCCGAACGACGGCAATATAATTATCCACTTCTCCGATAATAATTAATCGAAACGGAGGATACTGCCACGTGCTTTTTGATCATTTGCAATCTACGTCTGCTAATTGAAAAGGCATCGGTCTTGAGAAATATTTAACATTATCACTTTTAACGGGAAGAAAGTAATTATCAGAAAGTTATAAAAAAATCTAATTATCTATGATAATAAATTTCACAATAGTATATATGTATTGATGTAATTAATGCGTTATGTAAGACCGATTTTAAGTCTTACCTCAAAATTGTCAAAATTAATTAAAATAATATAAATTGTCAGTGTAAAATTAATAAGATCTTTTATTTTTTATTTCAACCAAACTGCAACTATATTGTTTTGTTCAATCGAGAAATATTTAACATTATCACTTTTATCGGGAAGAAAGTAATTATCAGAAAATTATAAAAATAATAAGAATCTAATTATCTATGATAATAAATTTCACAATAGTACATATATTGATGTAATTAATGCGTTATGTAAGACCGATTTTAAGTCTTACCTCAAAATTGTCAAAATTAATTAAAATAATATAAATTGTCAGTGTAAAATTAATAAGATCTTTTATTTTTTATTTCAATTATTTTTATTTTTACTATTTATTTATTGTTTTGTTTTTAGATCGAAAGACACATAGTTTTGTCTCGATTTTCTTAACGCGTATAGTGACTATTCTTGCTAACAACAGTTAACATCTATTTGTCAATTCTACATTGTTCATTAAAACAACGGTGAATATTGTCGGTGGTATGATGAATTTGAAATTTTTATTATGCATTTACGTATATATGTATATGATTTAATTATTTGCGATATGTAAAAATTATAATTTTACTCTTGACTGCAATGACAAAATGTTTAAACTAATTATTTATAATAATAATTGCCAGTTTGGTCGACTGAGGAAAGATTTTTAAATTATTACTGGCGAAGATTATTATCTCTTTTATTTTTTATTTCAATCAAACTGCGACTATATTGTTTTGTTCAATCGCACACTATACGTTTCGACCATCGGTTTTGGTTCTTTTCCAGAAAAGAAATCAAAGCTTACAACACTTGAAAAGGGACCAAAACAGATGATTGAAACGTAGTGTACGATTGAACAAAACAATATACTCAGTTTGATTGAAATAAAAAAGAAAAAAATCGTATTAATTAAAATAAGAAGCTTAATAATTTTATAATAAAACATATATCAATCTACCATTCGATACTAATTAAAAAATAGCTGAAAGGACAATTATATTTATTACCTATTAAAAAAATTTTCTCAAAATTGTCAAAGTTAAATTCTTCGGATTCTAACCAGCCTCTAGGTCTCTCTCTCTGCTTTTTCAGAAACGCGCACGTTCAGAGATACATATACGATCTACGTACAAACTTATACATATATCGCGGAAAGGGATGACCGACCGTGCGACTGCTTCGAGTCTTGTGCAATGCTCCTCTAGGTAGTACCGGTGAGTATTGGAGAGGCATCGCAATGCTTGGAATGTTTAATACCGGCGCAACGACACGGCACGGAGAAATGGTCGGCTTCAACCGCGGAATAAATCTCGTGGAATCATACCCGCCTCCCACTGCCATTTCTTGTCTGCCACGTGCTCTCGCCGAGAAATTTTTCAGAGGCGGAGAAACGCTTATTGCATTTCTATACGTAACACTCCGCCTTATGGAGGAGAACCGCGGCCTCGCCGAGAGACTTTTACGCAAGTCACGAGTTTAAGATACTAAGTTCATTCGCCAGAAAAAAATTCACCACCTTCCCCAGCCATTGGGAAATACCGCGAGCCGCGAGATAATGAAAAAAAAAAAAAAAGCTTCTCTCGTCTCGACGTATTGTTTTATGCAAGAAACACGACAAATTTTTCAGATACTTTTCTCTTTTTCTCCTTTTTACGGAGAGAGAAAAAAAGAGAGAGAGAGACGGACGTTCTTCGCGCTCCGACGACTCATTAACACGCCGCAATTCAAGACGAATGGCATTTATCCTAGTATATAACACTACGAGCGTACCATATATACACACACACATACACGTTTTTGCTCGTTAATTCCAGTCCTGTCTGGAAGGTGGAGTATGCTATTTTTTTTCTCTCGGCAAGTAAAACATCCCCGCTAATTACGCGCCCTTACTTGTCCCTGGCCAAATACGAAGAGAGGAACGTTCTCGTAACTTCGTTTTCCCAGCTTCAGCGTCACCGCGATTTCTGACCATTCGGTCGGCCCGATGGTCCCCTGTCGTCCCCAAGTACGGGATGTTTGCCGGGAACGTTTAATTGCGATTGCCAAGAGTCGACTCCGACGGCGATAGAACGTTCGTTAGAATTTCATTAGGGTCGTAAGATCGAACGCGTCCGAGTGATTCGCTTTGAAAGGGCTCGCCAGGAAGCTGCGCTTCGGCCGTGTTTGCGAACGGTGCCTGCCTGGTTCGTTGCCGAAAAACGATTTGTCGGTTTGGCCATTGTAGCGATGGAATTTGCGATAGCTGGAGGCAAAATGGCGCCGCTATACGATACCGAATCATGTGTATTGCATTGTGTGGACACGATGAAACAGAGGCGCATTCACCGGTCTTTCGGAAATTCCACAATGTCTCGGAATGAAATTAGTTTCATAAACTAGAATGAAAACTGTCAATAATTGAATATTATTGGATGATCGTTATTAAGTCGTTTATTTTTTTTTTATAATAAGTAATTTAATTTGGTCAAACAATGTGGGATAATGAAAATTAATATTATATTATGTTAGAGATAAAATTTGGAAAATTTTTAATATAATATAAATATTAAATAAAAATAATTAATATTATAATATGTGAAAGAAAATAAATATGAAATATTAAGGAACGTTTTATCAAAATAGAATTTAAATAAATTAAAATTAGAAATAAAATTTAAAAGGTAAAAGAATATTATATTTCATAATTATATTTGAGTGGTCTAATTATATATTATCTTATTATGAATTTATTCAAAAATAATCTCACAAACAAAATAGTATAAAGCAACAGCTGCATATAAAATATAAGATACAAAGAAGAAATGAGGAACTATTGGGAAGTTAAATTAAATCTAATTATTTTTAATTAAACTCGATATGACTTGCAATTAAACAGAAACAAGTTTCGTTCATGGAAAGGGTCAAGAAAAAAGTAATCGAGTGTTGGTGCAATTAAAAAAATATTTCTTAGTGTAGAGGATACACTCGTTCGCGATATTCTGCATAATTACGGGCATTACACGATATCTTTGTTATCTGGACGATGATACTATTTGTATATTTCGAACGTAGGGACGGTCCGCTGCTTAAAAATTTCGGCTTGGCAACAACTTTAGCCTTATCCTTAACATAAGGCTCGTTCGTGTATTCTGGAAACTTGCTGAAGCAACCATCGTGACTTCCGCCAGGTTTCTTGGGGAAAGGAACGTAGAATCGCTCCACACCGAGTTTCTTCTTTGCAATTTCGATGCGACGAATGTAAGTGGGTCCTGGCATCTCATCCTCGTAAGGATTGGGAGGAAAATAATCCAACGGCGCACTAGTCGTCAAGAATCGACCTTTAGACACCATCTCTGTTCCATTAAAGTAATGCGATTTAAAATTTAATAAATAAAAAAGAGCACTCATCAACAATTTAAACGAATTTTCAAACTCACGAAGTAGCCAAATTAAGCACACTACGCATGTAATAAATATATGTATAATATATAAATATATGTATAAATCGATACTAAAAGTACCAAAATAAATTTCAAAAATAAATTCTACTAAGACATTTCTAATTTTTATTAAAGTTTGATAAATTTTCTACTTTTTATTAGAAACTTTCGCATATATAAAATTTGTAATGTTATGCAATTGTAAGAAATCCTCTGTGAGAAAAATTTCAAACATTTACAACATTAATTTAAATTTTATTTAATTGCTGTCGAATGTTTTTTTTCCAGGAAGGAAGTTTATGTGAGAATTAAAAATGTTTTCCTCACAAAAGCCAACGAAAACAGGCAATTCTTTTTTTTATGATGAAACTATAATTAATCACGTGTTGCCGTATAATATAAAAAGGAAGTATTCCGAAAAAATTCCAATCTCCGTCTATATTTCATTCTCTCATTATTACTTTTTTTTACACAGTAATAGTCTTCATAGCATATTGTATACGCATACGAAATAATTAAAGGAAAGTGAGAGAAAAATGACAAAATATAATTTAAACCTTAAAATGATTTTAATTGGCGGCACAAAATGCGAAAACGAATTTCACATCATTATTAATACTATGTTTTCCTAATTATACAAAAATACTTTGTGGCAAAGATATATATATTTTTATCACACATAATTTTATTTACGAAAATCACAATGAAAATCATTGTTTAAATTTTGCCTCACGTATACGGAACAACTCGAACAATTTTTCAGAATAAAAACGCAATATACAAGACTTATTAACTTTTCCTCCAGGTACAGAATACCGTCTGCAGAATACATATTTCGTAACGAAAGAATTATAGATCTCAAAGTGCTTTATAATATGTGCGATAAAATAAGGAAGAAAAATGTGCTCGACAACAGCTCAGTTTCTAGCTGCGCGTATACACGTGATTCCTGCTCTCATCATTTTCAGCTCAGCATCGAAATAAACTCGTCGTTCTAAAATAAATCTCTATCAGTTACCAAGAGTGAACAGACACAATATTAAGGCTACGCTCACTCCTTCGATTTTTTTTTTTTTTTAATATGAAGAAAATAATATTCTTTCTCGAAAATATCTTAATATCGTCTACCAAAATTATGCATATGAATAATTTATCAAGAATTATGCACAAGAGATGAGAGCGAGAGGAGGGAGAAATCGGATCAGAAAGGGCGTAACGCAAACACATTTACTTTTACGGACTATCCTTCCGACAGGATCGTAAGGTTCATGGGAGTACTCTGGATAAGGATTGAGGCAAATATCCGCGTAACCCGGCCCACCGAGCGGATTGGGTTTGATTTTCATATTAGGCAGAGCCGGCGTCTTTTTTCTCGCTTCCACCCTCGGTCCCGGACTGAAGTAAGAAGATTTAGCGAAGCATCCGTACCAATCTCCGGCGACGAGTGTTTCTTCGATGGAGATGTCGGCAGCATACGGCCACCAATCTTCTTCCTATCATCTAGTAACTGAAACGATCCCGTCGAGCGCATATATAAAAAAACAAATATACACTCTTTTCGTCCCTTCTTTCCCATAGTGTTCTTATTAAACCAGAATAAACAGCCTCGAAATACGGTTGAAGCAGATTAAAGACGAAAATTAAATATTGACGAATAAAAGGAATTTTAATGACGCGCCGATTATAATTACAAATGCAACAAATTAAATAGCTTCAGCTTGATTAGCGATGCTTCGTAACCGCACATTGAATTAAACTTTATTAAAAGAGATCCTTCAACGAATATATATATAAAAGTTTCCTTTCTGTAACGATAGGATTTAATTAAAATTAAAATCTTAATCAATGCAATAAATTCTACGCTTTTTCTCTTCCTCTCATAATTTTTCGGTATCTTAAGTCTCGATGAACGATCAGATTGATTTCATGTAAAATATTTTTTACCCGTTTCTTCGCTTCATGGCGCCATAGTTCTGTAAGTGCTTCGCCTTCAAAAATTCGTTCGAACTTCTCCTCGAATAATTCACTGGAAGGTCCGCTGAGAATTTGCCGTCCTTTAACGATTCCCTCGCGAAATTGTACAGGGCCCCGATCCTGATCAAAGGGGCCCGGTGCAGGATCATCAAAGAAACCTGGAAAGCTTCATCTCTTTGAAAATCCTTAGAAATCTATAATAATACACGCATTGACAATTTTATGCATTACCCACTCGTTCAAGATCAGTTTTTCCATATTGATGGCCAATAGTCGAAACATTTATTACGCTTTTCTTACTCATATTTTTCCTGTTTCATATAATTTCTACATTATATATAATTTTCTCTTTGAGGTAACCTAAAGCTTGACGTCACGATAAAATATATATTTTTATGAACGATCGTCGTTTATCGAAAAAAGAACGGCAAAAGTTGTTAATAGAATAAATAAACTTAATATTGTAATCTTTCTCCTTAAAATTTACCTACATATTTTTGCATAAACATACATACGTTATTCATGTGTTCGTATGAACAAAATAATACATAAATATATAATTTACTTTTGTATTAATATTTAATTTTAATTATATTAATTATGAAATTTTAATTTTAATTATGTTAATTATTAAATTTTAATTATATATATTAAATAAATAATTTAAGAACAATTTTTATAAAATAAATATATTATTGAAAACATTAAATATGTATATAATGTTATATAATATTTATATACAATATAATATAACAGTGTATCGTCACGTAAATCGCATTACGGCATTTTGAAGACTAAGTATTGGACTTATGAGTAATTGACCTGGTTCCTGTCAGTAACGAGCCGTTCTTAATGAGTTGACGCCGGCACCAGCGGATATCTAGCGGCATCCTCATTGTGGTAACAGTGGAAACATTTCATTACCGCCTGTTTGGATAGACTCCACTGAATGAAGGAGTTGCGTACTTGCGGGAGCGACTCTATCTACTATATACACTGTTCTGGTCTTGTCGAAATAGAGAAGTCACGTCATTCTCAGAGAGATGACGAGGAATGATAGAGCGCTTCAAGGACAAACGTATAGTAATCGATATCTATGACAACCAGTTTGCACTTGCAATGATCTTATTATAATACTTGGTAATCTAAATTATTTTTTATCAATGTATGGATATCAACTGAGTTTGACACATCATTTGACAGCTATCAGCTGTTTTTGACGTGTTAAATTGCAACCATTTTTTAATAGCTTCGAATATTCTTTCTCGTTGTATTTTAACAGTAGATTTTTCTTCGTATTTTGTTTCGGGCAAAGAAAAGAATATTTGGTAATCTGAATTATTTTTTTATCAATGTATGTGGATATATCAATTGAGTTTGACACATCATTTGACAGCTATGTATCAGCTGTTTTTGACGTGTTAAATTGCAACCATTTTTTTAATAGCTTCGAATATTCTTTCTTGTTGTATTTTAAAAGTAGATTTTCCTTCGTATTTTGTTTCGGGCAAAGAAAAGAATATTTGGTAATCTGAATTATTTTTTTATCAATGTATGTAGATATATCAACTGAGTTTGACACATCATTTGACAGCTATGTATCAGCTGTTTTTGACGTGTTAAATTGCAACCATTTTTTTAATAGCTTCGAACATTCTCGTTGTATTTTAAAAGTAAATTTTCCTTCGTGTTTTGTTTCGGGCAAAGAAAAGTTCCGGCACCTTTCTAACACTTAAAATTGCTTCGGGCGCCCGTTCATTGACAGAGGAGAAATAATAACGTTCATTATTCCAAGCGATCTAACTTGTGTGACGACAATATCGTTTACCCAGAAAGTTTTCCAGGCCTGCAAAAGGCCGAGTTCATCTTCGCCCGTAGTCATGCGTATGCGTCAACCCGGTAATTTCCACAGTCCCTATCTGGGACGATGTTTCCGCGCGATCCCTCGTACAGTTCGCGAAGCGGGGCGGGCGACAACGGCCGCGATAATAACTAAACTTTCGATTGCCAGGGCAAGCCATTAAGATAAGGCTCGAGGCAGCTAAGAGGACGTCGGCTTCCGAACGAGAATAGTTGCGGATTCCGTAAGGAGTCTAAGGGCTGCGGTAACGGGAAAAAAGTGAAAAACCGACGAAGAAAGAATTCGGCAGCCTTCCCCGAGAAAGGCGAGAATAGGAGAAATTGGAAAGGTAAACGAATATAAAAGGAGGGATGGACGAGAGAGTAGGGGATGGAGATGTCAGGGGTGAAAATAGAAAAATGTTGATATACATCGGTTGCCCCCGATAAAGTGGTGGATCGATTAAGATTAAATGTCCGGTGTCGCCGAGTTTAAGACAAGTTACATTGGAAACTCGGGAATTGCCTTCCGTGGAATTGAAATCAAGGACGTGACCGTTTAATTTGCAAATGGAAGGAGAGCGATTGACTCGACGCGTCATAGACGCCATGAGAAAACTGAATGATTCTGTGTTCTCTGGTTACTGAACATTCCCCGGAATCGTTAAAAGGTAAATAATGCTCGTGTATAAGTTTATAAACTAACGCTAAAATCATTCCATCGGCAAAGTAATAAGGAGACAGATTATCATATTTCTGATCAATTTATATTATAAATATAAGTCTTTATATTTATTATAATGTAAAATTTTGTTAACTTATATTAATTATAATTAATGCGAAAAACATTATGTTTTTGAATTCCTCATGTTCCACTGCATGAAAAAACAAAATTATATTAATTATAATTAATGAGAAAACAAATTCCTCATGTTTAAAACATTATGTTAATTATAATTAATTTGACAAAAATTACGTCTTTAACAAATTCCTCATGTACTGCATGAAAAAAACAAATGCAAATACAATCTGCAACATAAGGATTTTTTCTTATATATAAATTTACTTTTCCTCAAATGTAATGCAAATAGCAGACATTTTTGTTACTATGTTACAATGTATGTTTTAACAGAAATTGAAGGGCAATAAACGATATCGACAGTTTCCAAATCGCACTATCTCGATTCAATCTCATTAACAAGGATGCTTGATCGCTGAAAATATCTCTCGCGAATAATACTAGTTTAAATCATTATTCGAGGAGAATTACAGAAAGAAAGTGAAGAAGAGGTTTATCATTTTAAGTGGAACATCGATCGAAGAGAAACGTTCCGTCTGATTTCTGGAATTCCAATTCAATTACTTTAATTCCCCGCATTGACGAGACAGTTGACGCGACAGCAAAAAGAACAGACACGTGAATGGCGACGACCGCAATGGCACAGTCATATAAATATAAAATGGACAAAACGAGGGATCCGTATTTCACAATCGACACGTGTTCCGACACGTAAACCCGGAGACAGTCTATTATAGGAGCGGTCGTGAAACTACAGAATTATCGATGCCGCGGTAACATCAAGGGACCATGTCCATTAATTCAACGTTAGCCTAAGGGGTTTAAATAATTAATCTGGGAATCCCACCCATCGCGATTAAACGCTACAATTAAAGCCGAAAATTCGCCCAAGATATCCTTGCCGGTCACCGCATCGTCTTTCTATATTCCGGCTGCTCTAAGGAGATATCAGCGAATCAACGAACACTGCAACGCGAATCCTCTGTAGAATCCCCGTGATTCCAGCTATATCTAAATTATATGTAAACAGAGAACCTGCAATCTGTATATTACATTTGTAAAATGCATTAATATTGTCTCTGGGATATATTTCAGAGTTTATATATACAATTCGAGTTTATATACATATGTATATATATATGAATGATAAATTCGTATAAAAGTTGCACGTTCATTCATTCCATTTTTTTTTTTTTTTTTTGGAAATTATATTATATACTTGCGAGACGCATTCCTAACATTTATGATAATTAACAAAAGACTATGTACTCCGGGGCCTAACGTTACACGAGCTAAACTGCATTACCTTGCTTGGGCTATCACACGTGCCGTAGTCAAAGGGCCGACCTGTTTATACTGACTGAGTGTCGCGATTGTTGGCAAATTGGCGGTGGACGGATCTGTCGACGATGGCCGGGGTTTGATGAAGTAATGGACGTTCTCTGTCGTCGTGTTGACTTAGCCAAGCCATATACATCGTAATGGTACGTACACAATTCCAACGGGCAACGTAGCGACTGCCAATACGGGTTCAGCTTTGTACAGTATAAGCCCTCGTGTATATACGTGCACACGTATCAGTACACAATGCGTTACGTATGTGAGATGTAACGTAAGCTATCGACTGTTCTTGCCGCGTCTCTCGTCGCCCATTTATACGAAGCACGCAATTCCTGTTAACGTTTTTCCGATACGCGACTCTCTCTTGCACGTCAAATATATGGTACATACTATATCTCGAATTCATAAATATTTCGCGACATATTTTATTTTGTAAAATTCGAATATCTCTCTCTCTCTCTCTCTCTCTCTCTTTCTACTTTCTTTGTGTATGCGCATACAGGGAACATCGATATGTATGTATAAGAATTATTAATCCATTATTAAACTCTTCTGTCAACGTAATTTTTCACCTTCTTATCAGTGGATACTCGGGTACCAACTGCGTGTCTTTTTTTTTCTTTTTTTTTTTTTAACACATTTCACTGCCACAATGGATATCGACATTTTTCCTGTTATATTTTAGGTTTTCAAGTATAAAGATTCTGCTTTGGCTACCCCATTCATTAAGGATTAGTTTCATTGTAAATAAAAGCTTGGCTTTATAAACTTCGTTTGATCTATGAAACTAATAAAAAATTACATTTAATGAATAATTACAATATAAATTTAGAACATTTTACATCACAGTATAGCTAAAAATATAACACGATGCAAATCTACGGAGAAGTTTGCAACACTTTTAACTTTTCAATCTAATTTGCATACACTTATACATATAGATTATATATATTATATTTTAATTAATATAGTTGAATATGGCTGTAACGAGAAAATAATGTATACACAGTTAAAAGTTTCGAGGAGAAAAAAGTTGCTAATCTTGAATTTTAAATAAGAGCTCAATTTAAGTACTTCTTAAATGAAACTGCTCCAATTTTTTATATATTTTATTTCGGGCGGAAAAACGTTCGATAATTGGATACCCGTTGATTGACAAGAAGAATTAATTTTTTCGACGCCTAGCAATATCGACAAAGAAATGATTAGGGCTGAAAATCAAAACAGGCAACGGCGGCGTGATTTTTATGAGCGAGCGTTCTCCGAGCGTGTTCCTTTT